CGCCCCAGCGCCAGTGTCCTTCAGCCAGGGCGCCGGACCCATCTGGCTGGACGAGGTGGGCTGTCTGGGGAACGAGTCGTCTCTGTGGGAGTGTCCCTCCAGACCCTGGGGTCAGCACGACTGCGGACACAAGGAGGACGTGACCATAGTGTGCTCAGGTCTGACAGCAACATTTCTCATCAGCAAATTATCTATTTTTAATCTGCAGTGAAGGAAGAACATTAAATAATCATCGTGATGAAGACTGTAGAAATCAAAGTTTGCGACTATATGAGAAAACAGGGAAATTAGATGTACACTTAGAACTTTTTAAACTTAAATTTAGTAAACCAAGCACATAAATGCCCTTTGAATTGCCCTTTCTGTTTGAAAAAAGATTTTGCAGGCTGGCTGAAGAAACTGACAGCACTGAAGAGGCTGAGCATGGTGCAGAATAGCGTTTTTAAGTTTTAAACAGAAAAAATAATTAAAAATTAAAAGGAAAAGGTCTTCAGCGATCATTCATTTGGGCTGCTTCACTAAGTGGCTCACAACACGTTGAAAAGATTATTTCAATGAATTATTTATTACCAGATCAAAAGTTTTAAGAATGCAAGGTTTAAGCATCAAAAACACTAAAATCTGAAAAAAGGTCATTCTTAAAATATAGGCACAAATGGAAAAAGCTTATTTTTAGTTTATAAATAATTTTACAACCTGATTGTAAAGTTCTGCTGCCTGTTCACCATGGCTTGTTCAGTGTAACAGGTTTTTATCACCAGCTACTGCAGCAGCTATTTACTGTGAGCTGTGATCAATCAGGTCCAGTGCCTGCTGTCTGCCTCTCTCCCCTGGGCACCACTGTGACAGTGGTTAGGATTCTGGAGACATAACTGGAAAGTTGTGTGTTCAAATCAAAAGACGAGACACTGCTGTTGTACTCCTCCTTTATACAATAAATTACCCAGTTATATAAATGGGTATGTATGTCAGGTGATGTGGACAACAGCATTAGCTGAATTAGTAATTAGTTAATGCAATGTTGTTTAGTTAATTACCAACTCTCTCTCCTCAGGGTTCAAGCAGCTGAGGCTGGTGAGCGAGCAGTTTGAGTGCGCTGGGAGAGCTGAGGTCTTCTACAACGGCACCTGGGGAAGCATCTGTCAAAACCTCATGGACTCTCACACAGCTTCACTGATATGTCGCCAAGTCAACTGTGGGGACTTTGTTAAATTTGATATCCCTGACGATGGGTCAGGTCTCAAATGGCTTGACAATGTTCAGTGTAAAAAGCATGATGTGTCTCTGTGGCAGTGCCCCCATTCCCCTTGGGGAGAGAACAGCTGTACTGACAGAGACGTAGCAGGGTTAATTTGCACAGGTACTGTATTTTACAGATTTAACTTCTCTTTTTACTGCTCCTAGATTAAGTAAGCATTATGTACCTTTCAACAATGACTTAACATGCTTTTAATTACACTTCAATTTCATTCTCTTTGCTTAATAGAGAGTACCTTACAAACTTCAAATTAAATTATTTCCAGGTAAAAGAGATAAACCAGTCCCCACAACCCCAAGGCCTTGTACAGAAGACCCAGATCAGCACCACTGTCCAGGTAACATCATGGTGATGGGAGACTTATTTTCACCACCTTTTTTAGTCTGCAGGATAGTATATTTGTACCATGTCTTGCAGAGGCTCCAACTTTTTTCTTATGAACAGAGGATGATATTAGTTGAAAAGGGAGGCCACACATGGAAAGATTTGCTCTACAAGGTGGGCCCCCTGTACAGGTTTTGAGCAGGGCTGCAGTGTATGTTCTCTTTGCAAGATTTTCCTTGCATATACAGTAGCCTTCCTCATGCAAAGAGAGCTTTGAATGATTGCCCAGACCTGACTCTCTTGTCCCCTTCTCCCTGCAGAGACAGACAGGCTGCGGCTCATGGGAGGGGTCAGTAACTGCTCTGGCCGGGTGGAGGTGCTGTACGGGGGCTCCTGGGGGACGGTGTGCGATGACTCCTGGGACCTGCGGGACGCCCAGGTGGTGTGCAGGC